ACCCGAAGGCCCTAGATTCCCCATGCTACTGCCATCAAAATTTAGTTTGATAAACCCAGGAGGTGGAGGGTTCCACATGAGATTCAAATTCTTCTTCCTTGTAACTGAGCTAGCAACTTCTTTCCACTTTCTTAGCAAATCGTTTGTTGAAAAATCTGTAAACTCCCTCATTGTCTTCAGCTAGTGTATTACTCTTATATGAATCAATTCTACCATATTTTCCAAGCCTCTTTCCTTTTCTGAGAAGATCCTTGCATTTCTTTCCTCCCATAATGTCCAACAAACAGCAGCTCTCACGCATCTCCACATAATTCTTGATCTTTTCGTTGAGCATTCAATAGGTGAAGAGGAAAACAAGCTTTGCAGACTAGTTGGAGGTGTCCACTTGCACCCAAATAAAGAAGCAAACCAATCCCAAATATTTTTTGCCAAAACACAAGATATTATTAAATGGTACCCAGACTCACCAGCAGCTTTGCATAAAACACAATAGTGTGCAGATAAACAGCTATTGGGTCTTTTTCTTTGAAGTAGGTCATCTGTGTTGATTCTTTCAAGGAAAACTTCCCAACAAAAACTCCCAACCCTCGGAGGTATAGGTGTACACCACACTTCCTTGATAGGGAATGACAGTCCAATAGGAATTTCTGGTTGTATCAGGGCTTTAAGGAAGGATGCACAAGTAAAGGATCCAGAGGGAGACAAAGACCAGATCCTATTATCTATCTTTGTGGGTTCCAAGAAAATCCCATCAAGAATGGACAAAAGAGAAGAAACATTATCCAGTTTTGTGTCACTGAGTGCTCTTCTTAAACCCAAGTTCCAACCAAACCCGGAATTTGAGCTTGAGGAAACGAGGAAATTGATAATTGGTTCATTTTTTAGGGTGGAGATTGCAAATAGAGCCGGAAATTGTTCTTTCAAAGGGGTCTCCCCAACCCAAACATGTCCCCAGAACTTTATGAGATTACCCGAGTATAAATCATACCGTATCCAAGGAAAGAAGAGAGGCAAAATATCTTGGATGGATTTCCATGGTGATGTTCTTGTAGCCACAACCAGAATCCCAGAGTCCCAACCATTCTCTGCAAGCCCGTGAATACTACAAATTATCTTAGTCCACAGTTTCTCCCTCTCCAAAGAAAATCTCCACAGCCATTTCCCTAACAAAGCCAAATTCCTCTTCCTTATATTCCCAATGCCTAGCCCTCCATCTTGCTTATTCCAACACACCATCTCCCATCTAACCCTATGATCCTTTCTCCTTAGGTTTGCAAACCTATTCCCATTTGACTAATGATATTTTTTTCCCCTCTCTTGATTCCCACAAGAAGCCCCTCATATATTTCTCTCATAGAATAAATGTTTTGAAAGTGAAAAGCACAACTAAAATGCAAGGGGTTCATAAAACCTGGGACATAAGTTACAAAGCAAGGTGCCTAAATGAAGTGAGACACCACTTTTCAATTAAAAAACAATAAAATAACATAATATACAAGATTATACGAATCTAAATTCTAAAATAAATATACACAAAAAAGGTCTATTATCTCAATTGATTTGAGTACTATGTTATTAGCATAAATTTTGTAGCCTTATACATTTAAGTCAAGGCTGATCATGGACTTGGCCAAACCAGGCTTTTGGATCTATGACTTTAAATAGATTACATTAAATATATTTTATACTTTTATATAATATAAAATATTATATGTAATACATATTATATTCGTCATGTAAATCTGAACTGAATTGCAGTAATTGAATATAATATAATACCTTATCTTTCTCTAATATATATAAAATAGTTTTAAGGCACTAAGGCCAGCTATGTTGTATGGACCAGAGTGTTGGGTAGTCAAGAAAAAACATGTTCAGAAAAATAGTGTGGTAGAAATGCGAATGCTAAGGATGGATGAGTGGAAAAACAAGAAATGATAGGATCAAGAGTGAAGCCATCTGTAGAAACCTAGGAGTAGCTCCAATAAGTGATAAAATGAGAAAGAGGGTAGGCTAAGATGATTTGTTCATGTGCATAGAAGACCACCCAGTGTTTTAAAAGCCAAAGGTGCAAAAAAAGCGCAAGGGCCAATTTGCGCCTAAGGTGCAAGGCACAAGGCGAGGCGCGGGCCTTTTTTAAGCAAGGGAAAAAATACAAAAAAATCAAAATCAAAATCAAAAAAAATATGTTAGAAAATTCCCAAAAAATGCCAAGAAATTTAAAAATGCAAAAAAAAATCAAAAGATATTAAACATAATATTAATAAAAAAATATAAACTTAAATGTTTTAAAAAACCTATTATCTAAAATTAAAATACATAAACATAACATGTAAAGCATATTCAAATGAAAATTTAAAAAATAAAAGCAAACATATTGCATTCTTGATTCTTATTGCATTACTTCAAGTAGCTAATGTGATGTAAAACATATTACATTCTTGATTCTACGAGTCGTCTTTGTACCATGCCCCTTGAGGCAAGCCCGAAGAAGTCCATGTTAGGGTCTTAAATTCTTATTTCTCACATAAAAAATAATGCATTTAGAACTTTAATTGCCTTTTAAGAAGATATTTTATTGGAATGAATGAATGAACAACATTAGCAAATAGGGGATTCTCGGAGAACTTTAAAAGCAAAAAGTGCAGACTTTTAAAAAGGCGCATGCCTAGGCTGAGGTGCAAGGCGCATCAGGCGCACCAGTGTGCGCCTTTTGAAAGGGGTGCGCCTAGGACCTAGGCACGCCTTTTAAATCACTGAGACCACCAACAGCTCCAATTAGAATAAGTGATTTGTTACAAGTGGAAGGGGCTAGAAAAGCTAGGGGTAGACCAAAAAGGACATAGGTAGAAGTAATAAGAAATTATTTAAGCACTACTAATTTAACAATGGATATGGTTTTAAATAGAATGGAGTGGTAAAACAGGACTCATGTAGCCAATGCGGGGTTGGGGAGGGACAAATGCAAGAAGCCTTACCCCTGTAGACACAGAGAGATTGTTTCCAATTTAAGTCTGATCTAGAAATGATCACCCCTAATTTAAGTCCTACATAGGTTAAATTGTTTAAACTTTAAGCACTGTAGATACAACCAACAATAAAGTAAATTATTTATTCAACATCAAATTGAATGTTAATTCATCAAAACACAGGAACAGGCTAGGTTAGGTGCACGGTGCACCTGGCTTCAGGAGAAGCACATCCCAAAAATTAGCCTCCCCTATGAGCCTAAATGCCTAAATTTGTTTCCTTTTCAGTATTATAGTTACTGAAGAACAAGCTCCAGTACGGATTTAGAAGTAATCTTTAAAGGAGAACAAAGTCCCATAAAAAATTATAGCTTACTAGCACCATAACATCAACAAACAGTTCATAATTAAATAGAAACTACTAAAATTCTGTCAGAACAAGCAATGCAATAAACATTTTTTGTCATTTTTATTTCCCTTGTCCATTCTTTAACACTCACATTGGATAAAGAAAGCAACCTTGAGTTGGTTGCTCTACTTTGAACCCGGTATGCTTTTGTGGTCATTGCCAAAACTTGCATTGCACTGATAGCAGCCAAGTTATTCTCTTGCTGCAAATATAACTGAGCAACCTGCCTTGAAAAAAAGGCAGCCTTGCGCTGATAACCAAGGGTCCCAAACAAACGAGCCACTTCAACATATAATATCAGCCGGTCACTGGCATCAATCAAATATTTGGCACCATCTGCAGCAGTCATCAGCAAATCCACTACCTCCTTAGCAAGTTCTCGTCTGTCAAGACCAATAGTTAAGATGCAACACCAGTTACCAGGACAGTCAAGGATGAATATTTAGGTAATAGATACATATTATTCAGAATTTTTGAGAACCTGTGTATTTCATATGCTTGAGAAATAGGCAGTGTATAAGATACAGAATTTGAAGGGACCAACAAGTGATAAAGGCCATCATTACCTAATATTGGTCCCAGCTATCTGGGGTCTCAGGAGGAGGGGTCTGGATACAGACCTAACCTTTGGATTTCTTTTTCTTTTCTTTTTTTTTTTGGCACAAAGTGGTTGCTCTCAGACTCAAACATGCATTCTCACGCTTGTCCGCCCGAGGTTTCACCATTACATGAAGCAATGGCCCCTGCCATTTTCATTAAGGTTGTTTTGGGTTGGACATAAAATATGCTACAAAACAGCTAGAAAAAAAAATTATTCTCTAGTTTTTGGTTACCAGTAAAATACTAAGGGAAGCAGAATATTATCCAAAACTAGAATGTGGGGTAATATGAATTGCCCCTTTCAGAGAAGTCATTTTACCTAGAGTATTGGATGAAATCATGGGCATTACTTTTAAAATCTTTACTGCACAACTCTCTCCTTAGATCACTTTCATCCAATAAACTTTCAATTTCGTGGAAGTCTTCCTCTTCCATGTAATCCTAAAATCCAGTGGTTCAGTTCAGCACATGACCCCATATTCCAAGTCGAAATCAAACATTAGAAAATTTAATTAAAATATTTTTTTTGATATGTAACTCTTCTGAACTTTATTAAAAAAATGAAGGAAAGAGTAATTGGTACAACTACAATGTGTTGCTTTACATCAGCAGCTAAACCCCCCAGAGATGGCTAGCCTCAGTTAACCACCTCCACAAAGGTTCATTAGAATTACCTTCCCCTTGAGGTATCTGTCCCCAAAACATCTGGTTTCTTGCTTCCCTTTCTTTTGCCAACAGTCTAGTGTCGACAAGCCCATTGGCTAACTGTGGTACCCACATAACATTTGATCCTAGTTCATTCATAATATCTTGTGTTTCCCTAATTAAAATAATATTTTAATTAATTATTATCCCTTGAAAATATTTTTCTGGGATGCAAATGCAGCCTAAATAGTAAAACTTTCCTCTGGCCACCTAAAAGACTTCTGAATGGAACAAAAAATATAAGATTAGCCAAGTAGGTTCTGAACTCAGAGATATCTTTTTTTATAGGATTTTTTTTTTTTTGATAGGTCTCTGAACTCAGAGATATCATAGATAAACTTACCAAATGAGAGGTTATAGTCCAACCAATTTGCATGTCAATGTTCTACAATGCAGGTAAGTTGAATGGAGGTCAAGGTGAAGGCATCTCATACATCTATTTTTTTCAATTTTATAAAATTTCCACCTTAAAGAAAACTCACCCTTTATATGTAGGCCCATAAATTCAAGTTTTATATGAGAAAAATAAGGATTTATACAGGTCTACAATACAATTGTATGTGGCAACCACAGTGCAGAATATTAACCTAATTGACAAAAACATGGAATGAGAATGAGAATTGTAACCAAATGGATCCAATCTCATTATCATTCTCGATTCATTCTTTGGCAAAAAGGCATATGGTTTTCAGCAAGCTTTGCTCATTCTGCCACTTCTTGTTCATTCTGGAATTTCATTCTGCACAAGAATGAACAGTGAACAAAACATGGCCCAAGTCAGCCAAGACAAGGAAACATTCTTTTGCATCCTACTTATATTCTAAGGTATGGTACCTGGATACCTGATAATAGGTTCCATGTCATGGTGGACTGGAAACTTGAATTCTTAGCATAAGTTCCATTCCCAACACCAGTCATGTCCATGCTGTATCTGGGTATTATACCTTTTAAGGGTGTCAAAAGAAACTAAGATGACAAGACATTTACATTATTCCATGACCAAATATACAGATTTCAGTTTAGAAGCCAGTATCTGTAATACATTGAATAACAAAGACATTTTGAACCAATTTATATAAACAAATGACCATTTGAAAAACATGTTCCATATATATTAATATACATACCCCAACATGATCCCAATACACCTACATCTAAGTTTCATGTTCTGCACTATTATACCATGCACTCAATTATTTTGATAGGCAACAAGATACTTTTATTAAATATGAAAATTTGCTATATACAACAGATGAATAGAACAGCTACCAGTAGTAGCTAGAATAAGCAAATCCCTTGACATTGTTCCCCAAAACACTTGCTCCTTATTTACACCTTGTCTAGCACGAGAGTAATCCATTTTCTAAAGGATGCTCCAAATAAGATCTGTTTATAGTTTGATTGAATATGGATCTACCCCTATTCGATCCAATAATATTTTAAAAAATGCTAATATCTATATAAAATTTATATTATATACTATTAAAGGTGGTTTGAATGTTGTCCATTTACTAAAGAGTCATTTTTTGATAAATCATATTGTTATTATTTTTTGTAATTTATTAATGGTATTTAATATCCAAAATCAATCTGAATTCAAATCCAAAATGGATCTAAAATCCAATGGATAAGATTAAATTAGAATCTGAACATTAACAAATCAAATTTGGATGTAGATATATCCAAGTTGATCCAATCCATGTGCAATCCTAATTTAATCATGGGAAAGGCAATATGTTCATAGAAGTTTTTCTTTCCCATTTATTCTTCATTTTTTCCTAACAAAGGAATGGCAAAACAATTAACATCTTACCAAATGAAAGGGGTTTACATATGAAATAAAAGAACAAATCTAGCTGACCAAAAAAAATGTTATTAAAATATTAGAAAGCACTATTTTGCCCACAAAATAACCTTCTTTCCAACCACCAACTACATTAAACCAATAAAAAGATTTTTATTGAGGAAAATACATGATGATTCATCATTCCAAAGGACAGATTTCATGATCCAACAAGGAAAAGAAAATGAACAAAAGGTTCCTTTCAGAAGTTTACCTGCAAAGAAATCTAGCTAATTTTAAAGTAGCTTCAAGCTCAAAGCTTAAGGGTGAAACTCTGCAAAGAAAGAATTAGAAGACAAATTGTCAAGGATTCAACTAAAATAAGAAGGATAAAATGAATAATAAAAAAAGGATTCTTTTTTGGTAGAAAAACTGAATCCATTAACAAATAAAAAACAAGCAAGGACAGCATCCAGAAAGCAGACAAACAAAGGAGAAAATCACTACAACTGAGAACAACCACAAAACACAGATGGCACTAATCACCATTACCTACCCTAACCCCCATCTCACCCTCCAAGACGTTCGATAACCAGCAGGGGGGAGATTCAACAAACTTTTCCAACTTCTCAAAATCATGACACACAAGTACATGGGATGCACTATTGCAGTCTCTAAAGAGTAAAGATAAATCAAAAGAAACATCAAGATCATAATACAAGAACATCACGAATAGGAAAGACTGCTTCCCTGGGAGGACTATTGTCTCAATTCTGCATGCATGATATAAGAGTCCTGCAATCACTTTCCACCTCAAGCTTGACACAACCAAACTTTTAAGCAAACTTAAGACCTTCAATCAAAGCAATGAGCTCAGCATGAGACAGGAAAGTCACCATGCTAGGCCCATATTGCAAGACTCACCCACAAGATTCAAGTATCCCTTTTTCTTCTTCTGGGAACAGGAATTGCTTGCAACTAAAATGTTCCATCTCACATGACTCACCCCACAAGAATTATGTTCAGATGAAAATAAGTGGCATAGACTTCTCATAGAAAAGGATTTAAATCACAAAGCATATTATTTTAATAACACTACATGGGTCATGTGAATCATCTCAACTCATCAAAAACCAGAACTCATTTGTATGTAACCCAACTCTCTTTTTCTCATTTTAAAGCCTTATCATTCTGGAGGTTGAAATGCTTTTCTTTTATTTATTACCAAAAAAAGGTCTTTTCTCAATTTGATTGATCAATCTCAATCTTCAACGAAGGTCTCAACCTTTTCGATACCGAAATTTTATTAAATGCCAACAACAGAAGCTACAATGGTCTCAATCATTCATTTAATAGCATTCTTCCTTTGATTTAGTGGGTCTAGATTCTGGATTTGTTGCTCCATTAATGAACCCCAATATGCTACAGGTTCTCTTAAACAAATTTTACTAGCTACACTTCTTGTTTCTTTCATACTCTTCCCAGAGAAACAAAGCTTCAAATACCAATAACATTTTTATGGTAAAAAAAACAATATATATATATATACTGAAATAAAAAAAGAGTACAGATCTATGCTTTTTCTCTATTTACAGGCTCCAAGTAGTCATCTTTTGCTATCTCTCAGTTTCTTTTAATCAGTCTTGGCTATCTCTCAGTTAAAAGGAAGGAATTTTTTTACAGCCTCCCCATTACCTGTTTCAACTAAATATATTAACACAAAGCCTCTAATTTGCATCTAGGTAAAAAGAAGAAACCATTGCCAGATAATTAAAAGAGAAGGGGATCTGCAGTGGACTTGATGAAGGTAGATATTTCAGCATTGTTGGAGTCTCATGGCAAGGGATTTACTGAACTCATCAAAGGACTTTCATGGATTTGATTATGCTACCACAAGCTTGGTCAGAGAAGGGGATCTGCAGTGGACTTGATGAAGGTTGATATTTCAGCATTGCCAGAGTCTCATAATGCTATTTGTGTGACAGGCATGCAGGAAAGTCTTGTTAAAGGGGGAGAAGATGTTAGGATTTTGAAAGGACTCTCAGAGGCTACTCTAAAGACCGGACCAAGCCTGGTCTTATAGTTCAGGCCTGGGCCCAAGCTATAGCCCTTCTCATAGGTGCCAAACCCAATCTGGCACGGCCCATGATCACCCCTACTTGGTCTTGTCATCTGAATCCAATGCTAAGACATGTTTTGTAATTTGTATTTTAGACACATCACTACCTTGAGGGTATCCAGATTGCCGTTTTTCTATTTTGAATCTTCCCCTTTCTCTTTTATTTATTTTATCACTTTCATTTCCTTTCCTTCAAGAAACTTTGATTCATTAGAAACCAAAGATTAACAATTAAAAATGAAAAGTAAAAGAAGATATGACCTTTGAGCATTGTCTTGAATAGATTTTTTGTAATGAAGGATCACACTAGTGTAACGATACTTCACCTCCTCCTCTAGAGCTGGATCCTTTTGGCCCATCCGGTCTATCTGATTACACAAATAATAACAAGCTTCACAAACAAATTTGACACTTATCCAACTAAAATGGGACACTGAACAAATACTCAAAGAGAGACAATCGTAAAAGTTGGTAAGTAAAACAACGTAACAAATTGGTAAGATATCAAAGGCATACCCAAACAATGAGCCACACTTCAGCCCCGGCCTATCAATTGTGTGTTTGTGTGTGTGTGTGTGTGTGAACCTCCTTCCATATTTTGACTCAAAGGGAATGTAAGGTGTAAATACAGTGTACCGGGAGTATGGATTACCCAAAGGTCAACAATACCACTAAGCAAGCTCTGCATGTAGGTAGTGAACCTACCATTTGATCATTTCTTATTGCCAGCAATGAACATGATTGTACCATCACAGTATGAATTACCAGATGTATTGTACCATCACAGTTTACACAGGTTACCACAGTTCCTCTTACCATTTCAGACATAAATATTATTATTATCAACCAATCAGGACAGTTAGTAAAAAAGTTTTTGTCATATGTGAATCTCTTAGTAAACTTGCAAAATGGAAATTGCATGTTCTTGAATGTTCAATTTAGACCTCTCTAATATTTCTGGTTCAGGGAACGTGCATGGTGCATACCAGTAAGGCACATACACTACCCTCCAGAGCACCAGCATACCAGAAATAATCCCCTGTCAACCTGGCAAGTTCTAGTGCTGTAGAGTAATGAGCATTGGCATCTACAGGTGAGCCTGCCAGCAAGCAATAATCCCCTATTGTCTTTTGCGCACGGCCAAGCCTCCGTTTTTTAGCCTTAATGACCTGCAGTTTCAAAAGATCAAAACATTTAAGTTGCAAAGTCCAATCAAAAGTTCTTAAGGAAGAGTTTAGATGTGCAAAAAAATGAAAAAAGCAACCAAAAGTTTAAAAAAAAAAGGATCAAAAATACAGTTTCCAAATCCTCAAGACACCTAAACATAAACCTCCTCTGAGCTAAGACTGGCTTGAGAATCTAGTGGTGTCTTCACAATAGTTCCAGCAGATTCTGCACGAAGAACCCACTTTTCAAATTCCATCAGCAATGACGCAGCAATATCTTGCATCATTGTCAGTAAGTGGAACTCCAGAGTTTGACGATCAGCAGGAGGAAACAATATTAAGTTGTCCCCCCTTTTGCCACCATCCTCTAGCTGCATAAGAAAATAAACAGACAAATTAATTTGGACAATGAATGGAGGGTGCAAATTGTGGAGAAAATTTAACATGTGTTGCATCTGTTGCTCAGAAATCAAAACCAGGTTACAGAGTAACAAAAATCTTCAAACTGACAGCATTTATCCGTTACAGAAATAGGGGGAAGGACTTGAACAGATCTGGATCCTCCATCTTTCAAGAAAAAAATGAAAAGAAAATATGTAGCAGATATAGCATGTATGCAGTATGCTACAACTAAATTAGAATTTATGAAAATATACCAAATTTTTATTCCACCATTTTATTTGACAATAAAAGGATTTTACTGTCAGCCATGACTTATAGGATCTGTATGCATTTACAATGCAACAAATTCTAAATTTATCGCACCTGCTTTTTTATTCTGTACCTACCTAAAGTGGAATTGTTTTCACCATACACCACTCAAACTGCCGGAAGAAATCTAACTTACTTCAGTTCATTGTGGGCACTTGCATAAACAAGACAGATTTATTCCATCATCCTAAAACTCAAATACGACCAAACTTTATGCAGTTCTACTAAATTTGAAAGTAAAAATCAAATTTTGAAGTTTAATTCGACCAATTTATCTAAAAACACGGCTCTACTCATTCAAATGTTCTCACTTAGACCAAAAACCTCAACTTCAATTATATTAGTTCGTAACTCATGTGCTTTCACCTGCGATCACTGCATAATTAAGACCTATAGTTTGCCAAGAAAGAAATGAAGCTTAAAATTTGAAATGCACCTGAGCATCGCCAGGGGAAAATGCGAAGCAGCGCTGGACGACGGCCGAAGTGTAGTTCTTGCAAACTATAGAGAACTGATCTGCGACGACGTCGAGATCAGGCGAAGATGGGCAGTGGCAGATGCCAATGACGGCCAGAATTTTACGATTCGACTGGAAATCCTCCCAGGGACTAGGAGGGGACCCACCGACCATGAACTTGAAGCGGAGGCTGCCGGTGTCCCATGGTTGGTTTGCGAAGGGGCTCTTCTGGTGCTCTGTGTAGAAGGAGCTAATGGCGGAGAGTTCGACCTTCCGGTGGCGGACCAGCATCGACACATAATCCCTCAACTGTGCCTGCGGGACCGTACCGATCGGCAGGACTGCAATTCGGAGCATGCACCCGCTCTCGATGCTCACATCAGGCTCCATCGCCGCTTCCGTTGATCGGGAAAATGGTGGCAATGGGATGGAGGAAAGGGTTGGTCGTATTCTCAGGTACGGTTCATTTGATCGTGTGATGCAGTGAGAGTGGAAGAAAATGGAACAAGTAGAGTTGAGAGTAGAGTTGAGCAAGAAAATTCGGACAGTATTTAACAACTGACGAATTAACAGTTATTTGTCTCTGCGAGGCTGGGTTTAACCTAAGCCCACCATAAAAATCCGGAAAGCCAAAAATCAAGGGAAAAATACAAAACCTCCCCTGAAATTAACAATCATAAAAACTTCTCCTATAATTTCATTTCAACAAATACTTCCCCTAAATTTTTAAAAAATTCAATAAAAACGTTACTTCCGTCATTGACGCAGATAGAAAATGTATAAATTTACAAAATTACCCCTAACTAATCATCAGGGTGTCAGGCATCATTTTGTATATTTGTGAAAATAAAGCAAAAATCTATTCGTTTGAGAGACATCAACGAAGGGCCTGTTCGTTTTCTCTTAACTCTTATCTCTTAAGAGAAATGTTTTAACTTTAAGAGAAAAAAAGGTTGTTCGTTTCTTCTTATCTCTTATTTCTTAAGAGGAACGTTTTAACTTTAAGAGAAAAAATAGTTGTTTGTTTCCTCTTATCTCTTATTTCTTAAAGTATAATTATACAATTTTTTTGTTTTTCAATGATACCCTTAAAAAAGACAAACAAAAACTCTCATATATGGAGTCAAAACGAATATTTGATAACTTTTAAATTTTAAAATTTATAACAACATTCTCTGCATTCAAAGTTCAAAGGAAAAAAAAAATTCACCAATACCAATATACCTCTTAGTGTAACTATTACACTTTCAGATGTCATATTTCAGAGCAAATGAATAGGCCCAAAATCCTACACAGACTCTCTATAGTTCCACATAGAGATTGCCTCCTCCCAAGCCTATCAAGTGCATCTCTTTTTTAAGTTTTCGTTGTACTCTTTACAACTGAAAATGAAGCAAGGGCTTCTGCTATGGAGTCTTGTCATCCCTTTCGCTCATTGTGTTCTTTCCCCTCCCTGTCGTTTCCCCTTCCCTCCATTCGCATGCAGAGAAGAAAATGTTGTGTTGTGGTATCTGCAAATCTCGAGTCTAGTAACGATAGACAGTTGACAACAAGAGAGGGGAGGCAGTTGAGGAACAAGCGGAACAGGGCAAATCCACCAATTAGAGAGAAGAAGTTGAGGAGAGGCTGTTGAAGGAGCCCAAGAAGAGGTATGCTTTTTGGACTAAAGAGCTCAACCTCGACAACCTTGCTCTATTGGGTCCTTAATGGTGATCAAGAGACTGCAAAAAATTAGCTCACTCCCCGCCATAAATTTTCTAGACATTGATTTCAAGGTATGTTCTCCTTCAGTCAAGGTGAAAAGGAAGTTAAAGAATGGCTCTTACTTAGTCAAGCCAAAGCCCCTCTTTCTTAGTTGTATGTATTAAACAAGGAGATATACATGATTTCATCAGACAATGTGATGGAGTTGGTGACTTTGTTGTATCAAAAGTTGGAAATACAAAATGGCAGATCAATAGGCCCAAGCCAGTGTCAACGAATGACATGGAAGCAATCTTCCAACAAGCAAAAGAAGAGCTGGAAAAGACTGATTAAGCATTTGAAGAACAGCGGGGAGTTTGTATTTGCTTGTAGCTTATTAACAGTAGATAATGATAAGTTGATTACACTAGGTTCTCATGTTTAAGTAGTGTTCGGGCCTTTTGTAGAATTTACCCAAAGCCCTCTATCAAGACTAACGATTGGGATCCAGACCAATGAATATGCTCCTTTGTAGTTATAAAACCACTTATCTATTTGTGTTCTTCCTACAAAAAAAAAAATATCGCTTTCTAAAACTATCTTCTTTCTAAAGAACCAGAAAAGCAATTTTGGCCAATGTTTTCAATCCATTGTTGACCCGGCCAGTTGAACCGTTTGAACCATCACCCAGCCAGGATTTTAGTTATGGTTCAATCAAGATTCGTCAAACAGTTAAAAACCGTTGACTTGGTCAAGAACCGTTCAGCCTTGGCTGGTTCGATCGTTGACCCGTTTAACCCAATGACCGAGTTGTGGGTTGCACACTCAATGCATGCAAAATTTTCGGAGGCCATAACTTTGCACTCTGATGTTCGATTGGGGTGTTTTTTTTATTTTGGGTAACTTTCGAAGGCCATAACTTCATGCCTTATCCCGCTATTTTCGCAAAAAAAAATCCTTTTTTGGCCTCAAATTGTCATTTTTAATATTTTTATAAATAAAAAAAATTGAATTAAAAAACATAAATTAAATATAAAATAACTCATATAACACATTTATACATTATTTATTGCTAAAATATATATCTATACCTAGAGGCAAAAATGGTTTGGCTTTCGAGTTGGTTTATAAAACATTACTTTCGGCTACTTCAACTGACCTCTTTAAACGAGCTTTTATAATATATCTCCTCCCTTTTCATCCCCCTGCCAATGCTTGCTCCTCCAAACACTCCCACAAGACAACTAGAGAAATTTTCGCTTCCTTTTCTATTTTCCTCTCCCTTGTGTGACGTACATAGGTGGATCCAGGAATTTTATCAAAATATGGTTATTTTAGTAATTTTGTATGTAAAATAATTTACAAAAGCGTAAAAATGGCATTTGGAAAAAAATGAAGCATCAGCCTAACTTTTATTGTCTAGGTCAATGATGGAAGAGAGGTTTTTGTCAAATTTACCAAAAGTTTAAGGAGGCATTTGTTAAAATGAAACTATAAGGAAGGTTTTTATGATTGTTAGAAATTTCAATGGAGGTTTTTGTATTTTACCCAAAAAAAGGTAAATCCCTTGAACTTCGCTTAGTTTTCTCAAAAAGAGCTTAAACCCTTCAAACTTTGATCTGCCCATACACTTCCCTAGAAAAACCAATGCACTCCCCTTATTTTTTGGAACAAGGGAACTTGATAGACCCCTTTGTTACTTTACCCATAGAAATCTAACAACAACCACTGATGTCATGTTTTAAACATATTATAATATCAATTTTGCCCTTATATAAAATGACCTATTTGATTACTAAAATACCCTTAAAACTTGTAACCAAAAAAACCTTAAACCTCTCTTTACTCAAAAACTAAAGAATGACCCCTGTACTTACAAGGTTAGTATTTTGATATTTTTTATTCATATATTCGAATAAATTTTGTTTGACACGTTATACTAAGTACAAGGCTACTACAATGTTGTTTGAAATTTACCATTTATTTGGAATATCTAAGTTTGTTATTTAACGTTTAATTTATAATTGATAACCTATTTCATACCAAAAACATATGCAACCCACACATTTGAGAGTCTTTTATTTAAAATAAAAAAATAAATAAATTAGAAAGATTATGGGCCTACATATTTTTAGGTGAATACTTTTTCTTTATAAGTAGCTATGTATAAGGCCATTAATTTGATCTATTTTGTTTGACACCCATACTTAGTACGGGTCAAGTATTTAATTGATTTAAAATATTAAATCAGGTTTTTTTTTCAGTAAAGGGAAAATTCATTCAATAGAGTATAAAGCCGAAACAGAGTTTATACAAGAGGTGTGTTTGTTACTGGTCCAGTTCAAAGACAAAAAATCAGCAAGCCAAACTAGGGGATTACCAATCCAAGTCCCTTTCAGAGTCTTGATGCTAGCCAAAAGATGGGTCACTGAGTTTTCTGACCCTACTGAATCAAAAGATTTCACTTCTTGCAAAATATCATCAACCAAAAATCACACTTCAAAAAATATGTGTCCAGAATTAGACTGAAGGGCTGTCAAAAGGATCGAGCTATCACTATTAATAGTAATAGACCAAAGTCCCAAACTGTTTGCTAGTCTAAGGCCTAATAGAACCGTAGAAGCTTCTGAGAAAATTGCATATCTTGGAACATCGGTTGTGGCTTGAGCTGCTACAAATTCTCCTCTGCCATTTGAGATGAAAATACCATAGCCAGTATAGTTGCTCTTCAAAAAACTGCCATCAGTCCAAAGCTGAATAAAATTAGTTTGATGGAGTTCCCTCCCTCAGTGGGGCCGGGTAGCTAACCGCTGATTTAGGGTGCTCTCAAATCCAGGTTTCTTGAATTTATCAGAGTCCTGTGAACATGAGAGAGAACATCTTGACCATTACTGACTTGATTTTCAAAAAAAGATTTTATTTCTTCTTAACCAGATGCACCAACAAACAACTACAAAATATGAGCAGATGTTTTTTACTTCAGTTTTCTCTCTTGCAAACCTGCTAGTCCAGACACCAAGCCAGTCACCAAGAGATTGGAGGGACCCAGAATCAGGCATCAGGCTCAAAGAAGATGCATACCAAATTGATCTAATATCTTCAAAGTACAAGAGAGCATGGGGTATTGACTCTACCTCCTTACCACAGCTAGGGCAAGTACTATCAACAACAAGCCCTCTGCTAACAAGTCTTTCCAACATTGAAAGATTGTTATGTAAAGCTTTCCAGAAAAAAACATTTTTATCTTAGATGGAAGCTCAAGGCACCAAAGGACCTCCTAGTAGTTACTTTGATTATTAGTATGATTCGAAGAGCTAGCAGAACACCCATCCATCTTGGCCTTCTGAGATCTATAGGCGGATTTCACTGAAAAGATCCCTTTCCTATCATGAACCCAACACCATTTATCCTCCCTGCAGGAGAACGGGATATAGATTTTTTGGATTTCATTGGCAATATTTGGAGGGAAAAGGGATCTAAGGAGACCGGAATTCCAAGACCGGTCCCTATGGTTAATCAACTCTGAAACTTTTCTTACTGGACAATCCACCGGCTTGTCATAGGGAATTTTAAAGTTGGGCAGGTTGGGAAGCCAAGGATCCTTCCAAATGTCCATCTCCTCTCCACTAACTATCTTACAGGCACAACCTTTAGAACCTCTCTACCAATACACACACTTCTCCATCCCCAAGTTGGGCAGGTTGGCTCTTAGAAACAGCTCCTTACCAAAGTAACAAGCTTTGTAAATTTGAGCAAGTAAGTTTGTAGGATTAGTTAGAATCCTCCAGGCCTGTTTTGCTAATAAAGCTAGGTTGAAAATGTGTGGGTCCCTAAAGCCTAAGCCACTCTCCTTATTCCTACAAATGATTGTCCATTTAAGCCAATTTATCTTCCTTTGATGGTTTGAAGCACCCCCCCCCCCAACAGAACTGCTTCTG